AGCATTCCCCTGGGCCATACTCTTAAAGACTTAGTGGTGCACTGTGCAGCAGCCACGTTCTGTAAAATTACTGCGGACACTGGATTAGCAAGTGATTCAGGTACAGGTTCCCAGGAGACTCTATCACAGCAGTTCATCAGCTGATCTAAGGTTGTTTCCCATTTCTGTTCAGACACCTCATGACACTGAACTCTTGGAAAACTTTTCTAGGAAATCTGCATTTCTGCATGGCACACATCATGACTTTCTTGGACTTGGAGACACTAGCACCACGTATGGGGAACATTTTATAAAGTAAAATTATCCACCAAACCATGTACAAAGATGCAAAACGCATGAAACAAAACCGATCTTGAAAAAGACAAGTGCTTATAGTCTTCGAGCTAAAATAAAGAAGAACGTCACCTTGTGTTTTAAGAATCAGGAATGTCACCTTATCCTTATTATGTCTCAACTAGGAATGTCTATGTTCAGCGATTCAAAGTTTTTACTCTTCTGTGCATGGCCACAAGTAACTGAAACACATATCTTGAGACTACTTATGAGGTTAAATTTTAGCAAGTAGTAATATCCACCAGTACAAAGTCCACAAATGATGAGAACATAAACTACATATGTTTAAGTTAAGGAATTCTGATAATTAAAAATAGGAACCTATAATGATAAATTGTTTCAAAATATATGTGAAGTAATAAGTAAAGGCAGAACTCTCTACATTTATGAAAAAAATGTATTGTTGAAATTTCATTTCTATTTCCTGTGGTTCAAGTCTAGTTTCCTGGCGAGGACAATGATGTGCACACCACTTATGCACTGGATGGCTGAGCACTAGTCATATAGCAGTTGGTCCTGAGATTGTCTCAGCTCCCAGCTATTAACAGGACAAGGACAACATTGTCTCTGCCACTGAACTGTAGAGGGATGAAAGTTTGCATACAGGAAGGAGAGTTAATTTTAAAAACTGAATTTGCCTGAAGATTGGACTCAGAGAGCTTGAGGGCAATATGCACAGTGCAAGGTTTCCTGGAGGTTACAACCTCCACCTCCACCATACACTGAGACCTTAGCCATTGTGAACCATCAACAAACCATCTAAAAGGTTTGATTATTTGAAGGAATTTGATTTTAAGTTAATGTTTAGTCTAAATCAGTAGATAGTACATTATAACTGTCAATCCAAATAAGGCCATTGACTTTTTTTCTAAATAAAGTTTTATTTGAATACATCCATACAATTTGCCTACATACTGTCTTCGGCTGAGATGCAGCCACAGCTCAGACTACATAGCTCACACAGTTAAAATATTTACAACCTAGACTTTTATTAAAAATTTTAAACCATCCTTGAAAAGAATGATATTTTTTCCATTTATTGTTCAACTTCTTTCTTAAATAACAAGTTTGTGAAGTGAGCCATTCACTAGGCTGGGAAAGGTTTAGGGCTGCATTGTAATCTTTGTAAATTCATTCTTCCTGTCAGTGGTTGCCTCTGGACATGGGATCTGATGATTTTCCACTGCTGGTTATCTTCCTACTTACCTGGGACTCTATTCCCAAGCTACTATTTTAAACAGAGAAAATACCACCCCAGCCAGAAGGTACAGACTAATGTTGAACTACTCTCATTACTAGGATCAGAGACCATCTTTCCTAAATTAATCTTTCAAAGAGATTATAAAGTGTAAGATATGAATATGAAGTTTTTTTATTTTATAGTATACAAGTCATGCCCCTATATGGAAAAATAAATACTTCTTATTGAAAGAACAAGCAGGTAATTATTATTATTTCTAAACCACCACTATAAGTGAGATCAGCATAATCTCAATAGTTAACATTTTATGGCAATTTTCAATTCAGTAGAAAAAACTATAAACTATAAATTTTCTTCACTGAAAATATGAACTTGAGGCTGGAGAGATGGCTCAGTGGTTAAGAGTGGCCAATGCTTTCACAGAGGACCCAAGTTCAGTTCCCAGCACACACGCTGGCTGGCTCAGAACTACCTATAACTACAGCTCCAGGGGGGCTGCAGACACCTGTACTCATGTGTACATAACCCTACACATACACAGAGAGAGAGAGAGAGAGAGAGACAGAGACAGAGACAGAGACAGAGACAGAGAGAGACTGAGAGAGACAGAGAGACAGAGAGACAGAAAGACAGAGAGACAGAGACAGAGAGACAGAGACAGAGAGAACTAAAAGTAGAATAACATCTTAAAAAACAAATGAACAAAAATATGAACTCCCAATCACATTAATAAAATAAGTACTAACACAAACAACAGTCATCTGGAGAGATTAACTATATCTTATCTTAGACTTAGAAAGCATAAAGGCAGCTTTTCATAAAGCGATGACAGGACACACCATCACTATTCTTGTCCAAACTTTTAAATGCTAACTTCATTTTCTTCTCATGGTCCTTCAGGTATTTCATAAATTCTTCAAAGTCCAGCTTCCCATCTTTGTTGACATCACCGGCAATGAAAATTTTCTACAAAAAAAGAGAGAAAGAGAGAGACTTTATCGTTGGCATTGGCTAAAGTACTGAACTAATTGTGTACAGGCTTCCAGTTTGGGCCAGATGTATTAGTATCCATTATGGCATAGCTCTGCAGCCTTTCCTGTGGTTAAGATTCCCAGAGTTTCACAAGCAGTGGATGGTGCCAGTTTGATCATTGCACGAAGACTAGGGCTTCTCTTGTAATTGTCTTATAATTCCCTCTGTGGGAATAAAGACACAAACCAGGGCCATCTTCATCTGTGTTTTATACAGACCCCAAGATGGGGCGGAGCACAGGAAGCTTTGTAGTGGGAAGGGAGAGGTTTGGCATGTGAAGGGATGGGCACAGGCCGGCTAGCCAGGAGTAGAAGGTCCAGGGTGGTTGTATGGAGAGGCGTAACTGTCTTTCGTTAATCCCAAAGTGAAAATGGAAATCAAAATTAGGAGAGCTGTCGGTGTGACTAATCAAGTCCTGGCCATTTGGGGAGGGGCTTTTACAGGAGCTACTGTGCAACTTCCTAGGCTGTCTCTAGAGACATCAACTGTCTCCCTCCAAGCCTGTCAGTTGTAAGGACCAGGTTTCCTGGCTGTATGTGCTGAATCAAGGTCTATTTTTATTTATGGCCCTGCCATTATCTGTTTGTATATTCAGTCCCTCCCACTTACAGAATAACAAAAGGAAGTTATCGCTTCAAATTTATTATTTTTCATAATAAAAAAGGTATCTTTTGCACCTCACACTATAAATGTACATTTCTCTTTTAAAAAGTTAATTGAATTCTCAGTCCATATGAGGGAAATTCCTTCTACAGACATAAGTGAACCCACACATTTGAACTTCTTAGATGTGACCTTTACCTGCTGGAAAAGTACAAGAGTTCTTTTAAAATAGAATGTTCCATGTAGTTGGTGCAGAGCCCTGGGGAATGACTCTCCCTTAGTTTTGATAAGTGAATGCTCATCCATAATGAATGGATCTGCAAAGCTTCACACCTTTTGCCAAAAAGTTTTGCAGAAAAATAAAATGTTGAAAAGGAATAAGTCGGTTTCAAAGAACTTAGCTTGTTTATGGCAAAATCCAGGATTCCTTCTGAAAGGCTAATTGGTATCAAATAAGCAAATATACATCATGTTTTGAAAGAAGAGAGACCAGGGTCCCAACATCCACCTCCATATGGGAGATTTCAAACTCTTGAAGTTCCCACCGTTAAGATACACCTCTTAGAGGTTGCAACACTACCCCCAATAGAATTACTGGCCGAGTGCCAAGTCATTAAAAGGAACACCTTTGAGAAACAAGTATCCCAACCACAGCAAAAGACACAGCAACCACAATGCAGTGCTTGCCATATAGAATCAACTTTAAAGACAACTAGTTGACCAATGGAAAGCTTAAAGACTCCAAAAGTCTGCACAGTTAATAGATGGTGACGACTCTTAAGAAATTCACCCCCTTAGGAACAGAAACAAAACATAATTGTTCCCAGCCACTACTGAGCCCCCAAACACATGTGGACTTAATGTTCTGGTTCTCTAAACCCATAACACATCTTGGGCCCATACGCTGTGGTGGTTTGAACAAGGATGACCTCCATTGGCTCATATATTTGAATGCATAGTCCACACTGTTTGGGAAGGATTAGGAGGTGTGGCCTTGTTGGAGGTGCATCACTGAGGGTGGGCTTTGAGGTTTCAAGAGCTTACAATTCCCAGCTAATTCTCTCCCCCGCCTCCAACTTGTGGATAAGATGTAAACTCTCAGCTACTTCTCCAGTTCCTGGCTATCTGCCTGCTGCCCTGCTTCCCACCATAATGGTCATGGTTTCACACTCTGAAACTGTAAGCAAGCCCCCGATTAAATGGTTTTCTAAGTTGCCTTAGTGTCTCTTCACAGCAGTAGAAAAGTAACTAAGACGTGCCAAAGCTACTAATCTAGGCCTCTGGTGACATGTGAGAACACTGAACAGGTTGACCCCCTAAAACAGAACCTTAGCCAACAGCAAAAGCAATCAGAAGTTGGAAATTTGATTATAGCCACAAGGAAAACTGAGAAATATTCTTGAGGATATTAGCTATGAGGATGACCTTGAACTTCTAGTCACCCTGCCTCTACATCTTTTGTGCTGGGATTAGAGGCCTGCACCACCACAACAGTGTATACAATACGATACAATATGATACTATACTATACTATATGGTATTGGTGACCTAATCAAGCAATCTACCTGCTACCTACATCCCTAGTCCCTGGGTTATTCTTAATAAACATAAGCAGTGCTAAACCAGCAACATCTCAAAGGACCCAGGTCAAGTTCGGGAATGTATGAATTTGGCTTCATTCTGCTTCAGAAGCCTCTCTAAAGGTCAATCTGAGCTTTCGTGAAGCCCACCTCGTCATCCTCCAGAGATTGCTGGACCCCTAAATCCTCCAGGCCTTCCTGAAATTCAAAGATGTCCAAAGCTCCATCTTCATCATGGTCCAGATACCAAAAAAGGTCTTCATAGAGGGAATCCATCTGCAATGTCTTCTGGGGCCAGCGTGACCCCTGCTATGGCCCTCTGAGTCCCCCAGGGGCAGAAGTCCCCAGGATAGGACAAAGAAGATGTCTGTTCAAGATGAGAGAGAGGGGCCAAAGGCAAAGCATCTGCAGGGGTTACCGCATTGGAAGAAGAGAGCTTCATTCTAACCGTCCCGGGAGTGCAGGGGCCACGTGCAGGGCAAGAACCACTGAGCTACTCCTGGAGAGGGATTCGGCCCCCAAGCCCGCTGGCCGGAGACCCTGCCTCCACGCTAAGTTCATCAGCAGCCAAGACAGAACCAGCCATGCCCCGCCACAACTTCCAGAGACCCCAGCACAAGACTGTCTAACAAGGAAGTTGGTGTTTCGTCTTGTTTTGTTTTATAAAAATGCGAGAGTAGAGCGGAACTGGGCTCCTGCTCTGTAGTCCGCTAACAGGAGTAGAGGTCACCTGACCACTTGGGGAGACTGTGTGTGGTTTGCGGCTTGTTATTGTTTTCTGGGGTGCTGGGGAAGGAATATGTTGGAAACACATGCACGTGCTAGAAAATCCCTAATCACTCCACCACTGAGCTTCGGGTTCGGTCTAAGCCAACCATTTTGTCAATTGGCAGATTGTACCTGCCCAGTAATCCTCTTTTTAGGGGTGAACCGCACCAGACCGGCCGTCATAAAGACTGAAAACAAAGAGAAAAAAGCCCGTGTGGACTTTTTCTTCTGTGTTCCCTCCATCTCCACCTCCCACCCCTGGTTTTTTATCTTTTATTTTCACCCACTATCCATAGTCACTCTGGGGGCAAAATTGCTCCATCCGAACACCTCTTGAGAGGCACTCAGAGGACAATCCCCAAATGACCAGACGTTAAGGCAGCTGGACTCCAACGAGAAGGCAGGAGAGACTGTTATTAGAACCGGTGGCTTTTTAATGCTCACCCTCCAGAGGCATGGGAAGCCCAGAACCCCTTATTCATGTACCTGTGGGCCCTCATGCAGCTTCAACACAAGTGCGGAAGTGCCGTCCACAGGAAAACTCCCTGCTTTTACATGACTTACTTTTCAAGCTGAATCGTTTTAAAAATGAAAAAAGGTAAATTGAATGTCGCCCAGTGAGATGGCCCACGCCTGACACTTGAGGGTCAGATAGAAGGCTCCTGAATGCGAGGCCAGCCTGAGCTAAAGCATGATGAAACCTTCGCTCAAAAATAAATGAGCCGGCGCGGTGGTGGCGCACGCCTTTAATCCCAGCACTCGGGAGGCAGAGCCAGGCGGATCTCTGTGGGATCTCTGTGAGTTCGAGGCCAGCCTGGTCTCCAAAGCGAGTTCCAGGAAAGGCGCAAAGCTACACCGAGAAACCCTGTCTCGAAAAAACAAAAAACAAAAATGAATAAATAAACATTTTAATTAGACACTAAAATTCATAAAGAGAATTTAATTCTGCCATTCTCCATTAGCTTTGGCTCTATACTTCTCATCACAGCGAGTGCTGAGAGCAAGACAAAGGCCATCACAAATCCTAGACAGACTCCCTCAGGGAGAAAGCTGCACCACAGTTAAACATAGGCACTGCCGTAAACTGCAAAGACACTTTCCCAAGAGCTGTTGAGCAGCTCACAGATAAGGCTGTTTCACAAAACCTGTTGTGGCCCAATCGTGAATGAATTATCCCACAAAAGAGGATTTTATTTTACTTTTTAGACGTCTTTATTTTATGTGTCTAAATGAGTGTTTTGCCTGCTTGTGCATTTATGTGCATTTCATGTGTGCTGATGCTGCAGAAGGTCAGAGGAGGGCACCTAGCCCCTGGAACTGGTGTTACAGATGGTTGTGAGCCATGGTGGTCTGAGGAACAGGGGACAGTGTTTTGTCACTATTGATTTCCCACAAATTCTAATTTTTCCACTTTTAATGTCACTGTGTTCTCCTCTGCCCTCACCCATCTCTCTTGCACCCTCTTTCTAGCTTTTTGTTTTGTTTTTAAGTCAAAGATTATACTAGAACATTTTAAAAGATAGCCCCCAAATGTGGGTATTATCTGAAATACTCTGACAAAAATAAGACACAGTTAGGACACTAGAGATGGAGGAAATAATCTGAAATTTAATGTTCAGACACAGAAGTCATGAGTAACACAATGCTGAAGAAGAATCGAGAAACTTAGGTGGAAGTCTGTTCATACACTTATGCTTAGAAGACTTCGAAACAGTACAGCATCCTCTACTTCTGAAATTTGGACTTACAAATAAGGCAATACAAAATAATAAAGGGAAGTATGCCCAGGGTGAATTTACATTTTGGGGTTCTTTCTTTGGTCCACACTTATTTTGTGGCAATATTATATGAGTATATGGGAGAGAGAGAGGGTATGGGGCTGGAGACAATCAGGTGTTCCTGAACCCAGGTTCATGCTAGCAATTTAAATAAATGTGCTCAGTTAACTTGCGAAGGTCCAGGCAGTTTTAAGACTAAGCTGTC